ACTCCAAAGAGAAAGGAAAAATTGAAATCGCATCATATGACCCCTTTAAAATTGGCTATTCGTTGTGGGGGGAAAAAAAGATTTCAGGTTGGGTTTGGGCTCTAAATTTAACTGTGCCGCTCGGGTCGGGTCGGGTCGGGTCGGGTCAGACGATCTCGGGTTCGGGCTTCAGTTTAAAGCCCATGCAGACCTCTAGTACCGGCCCAAAGTCCCTAGTTCCTGGGGAAAGTTCCTGCGGTGGAAACAGGGCTTCGGTCACACTTTATTTTAAGGTCCAATTCTTGCTATTAACAAACCATTAACTATGACTTTTGCCTCAATAAACTTCTAATTTGCAGCTTACTGATAATTAGTAAGGTAGTTGTTAAGTTTAGGTATTGTGTAGGATTAGGAATGTAGAATATGGTTATGCAGAATATGTGCTAATAAACAGCCAATATGTTAGTAATAGGCATGCTAATAACCAACTAGTTAATAGTGAGAATTGGTCCCACCAGTATTACCATATCCCCCCCCCTCCCATTATGAAAGTCGGTGGCTACCGGCAACAATTTGGCCAAACAAACAAAGATATCGTGATAATATAATTATTTTGCATTATTTTGGTCACCATAATCGTGTGATGAAAATCTTAACATTATCACAGTCCTGCTTCATGACATGAGATCCAAAAAAAAATGAAAATTGTCCTTTGCTCAACCTTGTCATTCCAAACCCATGGGACTTTCTTGTAAATGATGACAGAATTATCCCTAATAAAAGTGTATTACATGAAAATCTGAGTTAGATAACAGAAACAACATTGCTTGTGAATCTAGTGCTAAACTGCACGCACTGTGCTTGTGTTTTCACTATTGACCCTTGAATCTTGACGTGAGACACGCCTGTTATTTAATTCCCCAATTATACTTTTACTGAGGGCTGTTAAACTTACTTTTCATAATTGCTAAACTGTAGGTGATTTATATTTGTCTTCTATAATAACCTGTCCCTTTAGGTGTATGTGCATGCGTTAGCAAATGTTGTTCGATTGGTTTAATAATGCTGTGTCTGTCATACACAGGCTAACGGGACCCTCAGGCTATCTCTCGGATGGACCAGGAAACTACAAATACAAGACCAAGTGCACATGGCTTATTGAGGGACAGTGAGTATTGGCCTGAAAATGAAACTCTCTTTCTCAGATTAGAGCTCTGAACGTTAAGCCTGAACCTGGCCTGTTAACAAGACCTTGTGTCCTCAGCTGACCTGACCATTAATGTTAAATTTTACATTTTGGCTTAACTCAAAATCGATTACTCTTTTATCACTTGATTAACACCCCCATTTGCATAATACACATTTTGGTTTATTACAAATTTAAACCATTTGTCAGGTCCTGTCAGTTTTGGGTCATGCAGCAGTACTCTATATCAGATACTTAGTATTTGTGTGGGTTACGTTGGTTGATGGTTGTTTTCTTGTCAGGCCGAACTCAATCCTGAGGCTTCGCTTTGAGCACTTTGCCACAGAGTGCAGCTGGGATCATCTGTATGTGTATGATGGAGACTCCATCTACTCTCCTTTACTCGCTGCCTTCAGGTATTCTTATCATTTCTCTTTATTTCTGTGTGTGTGTGAGGTGTAAACAAGAGGAGTGAGATGGCCAGGTAATGACCTGTTAATCCAGGATCAGATTAGAATACGGGAATTTCCGCAGGGGCCGCTGTGCTTCTCCAGCTCTCAAGCTCCTTACACCACATCAGACACTGATTTTGAACACAAGCATCCTGTGTGAACGTCCTCTAGGAAATATAACTAAGCTCTGGTGGAAATACCCTGATATATGTGTGATCCATGATTAATTGATTCTTCAACCAAAAGTGTATTATAATTGGATCAAGTGCACAGCATTTGACTGGTCATGTGATCTTAACATCGTAGCATTATTTTATTTTATTTTATTTTATTTTATTTTTTAAAGAAATTAATGCTTTTTTCAGCAAGTATGTATTAAATTGATCAAAAGTAAAAGTAAAGACATTTTTATTGTTATAAAAGATTTTTATTTGAAATAAATGCTGTTCTTTCAAACTTTCTAAAATATGTTTTTTTGTGAAGGAATTCTTTTCTTTTCCAGAAAGAATGCATTAAATTACATTTTAAAATATAAAAAAACTGAAAACTGTTATTCTAAATTGTAATAATATTTCACAACAGTACTGTTTCACTGTATTTTTGATCAAATAAATGCGTCCATGGTGAGCAAATTTTAGAAACACAAAAAAAAATTAGCTAACACCAAAATGTTTATTTATTTTTATTTATTAAAGTGGAGAAAATTACAATATAGTCATCTGATTTTTAGGATTTTAAGGTCAGTTGCATAACAATTTATGATTGATGATAGATTGGTCTAATTTGAAAGCAAAAAATAAGACTGATTACCCCTCAGGTGAGCCTACAAGTCTAACTATGAACTTGGATAGTGACGCCAATATTTAGTACAATATTTGACAGAACATCTACAAAACCCCAACCGTAACACTTTTAAAAAAAAGAGCGTTAGAAAGAAAGTACACAGACACTCTACTAGAGTACAATTAAATGAGAAAGCACTGAAACCATTAAATGTATTGGGTTCCCTGTCAGCAGAGGTATGAAGTATTCAATGTTCTTCTTTTTCATGTTCCAGTGGTTTGATTGTTCCTGAGAGCTACAGCAATGAGACTGTCCCAGAGGTGGTGGCACAGTCTGGTTTCGCCCTGCTGCACTTCTTCAGTGACGCTGCGTATAATCTCACCGGCTTCAACATGTCCTACGGGTAAACTTTAATTTCTGATGCTCACAGCTGTGCTGTAGTTCTATTCCAAAACCTAGTGAGCTGCTTGCTTTGACAGCGTCTTAAGGCATTGTGGGCACACTTCCATTAAAACAACTGTTCCAGAAGGTAGACAGCAACATTATGCTGCCAGCTGCCTTATAAGATACCTCAATTTTGTATTTATGCTAAGGCAGTATTGCTTGTATGCATTGTCAGTGAAATCCACGATAGCAGATGGACTGAAAAGTATCTATAGAAATTGATTTGGTTTAATCAAAAATAGGCCACTTTATTTTTAATTTGGCAAAATGCACACTACTCGTAATATGTACACTACAGTTCAAAAGTTTGGGGTCAGTACAATTTTGTTTTTTAGGAAATTAATGCTTTTATTAAGCACGGATGCATTAAATTACAAATTACCTTACTGTCACTTTTGATCAATGTTACTAAAGATTTTTGTTTCAAATAAATAGTTACAGTATATGAAACCGTGCATCCTGGTTTCCACAAAAATATTAAGCAGCACAGCTGTTTTCAACATTGATGATAATAAATGTTTCTTGAGCACCCGAATTTGTCATTTTATTTTAAATTCGAAGAATATTCGAAATTCGATTTTTTTTTGACAGCCCAGTCACTTGCCTCATTTCTGAATGAATCAGCCGTTTGAATGAATCAGTTGAATGAATGAATAAATGACTCACTCATTAAAACAGACATTTGCCGCCACCTACTGGTGGTTTAGACATATTTAAAAGTATCATTGCATTTTTTCAACATTTATATGTAGGTTTAAAAAAATGTGTAAAACATTAAAAGGGTTAGTTCACCCAAAAATGAAAATTAGCCCATAAATCATTCACCCTCAAGTCATCCTAGGTGTATATGACTTTCTTATTTTAAAAGACGAATCCAGTCGGAGTTATATTAAAAATTGTCTTTGATCTTCCTGTTTCTTGAGCACCAAATCAACATATTAGAATGATTTCTGAAGGGTTATGTGACACTGGAAGCTCACTGGGTTTTATAGCAGAGCTTTTTACTTGTAAACAGGCATGTTACCATCTTGGACTTTAAAACTTTAACCTTAATTTATAACTTGTATAGAAAGCTTTCCTGAGCTATGAACACTGGGTTATTTAAGAACGTGTGTTTATAAGGAAAGGTGTCTTGAAATCACATATACATGGCTGCTTTTGAATGGCCAGCACTTTGCTTTGTGGCTGCATAATGGTGTACAGTCATGGCAGTGACATACATTTTGTGTTTTGCAAAGTTTGCTGCTTCAGTATTTATAGATTATTTTTCCACATGTTTCTATGATATATTGAAAAACAATGATAAGCATATAATACGTTTTAAAGGCTTTTATTGGCAAAAAAATATGAGTCAATATTTACACTATTGACCCTTGTTCTTCATAACCTCTGCAATTCGCTCTGGCATGCTGGATATTAGCTTCTGGGCCAAATCCTGACTGATGGCGATCCATTCTTGCCTTATTAGTTCTCAGAACT